CTAAAAATGAAACACCTGCTGCCAAGTACTCAGCCTCAGTAGCACTAACCAGACAGAGCAGAGGCAGAAAACTTTTTGTGTCGTGTCATAATTACGCAATCAGCAGTTTACTAAATTGCCAGAGTTGGTGACTGATTAAAAAATCAGCAGGTCACAAAACCCCCTAATGTGATGGTGGCCATAGAGCTTAGTATGTGCTTACTCTGCTGGTCACGTCTTTGTCGCAGTGACCGGGAGCGGAGAGAGCGGGAACAAGCCCTGGGTGACTTCCGCTCCGGGAAATGTCCTGTCCTGGTGGCCACTTCCGTCGCCACACGGGGTCTGGACATTGAGCACGTCCAGCACGTGGTCAACTTTGACCTCCCGACTAACATCGACGAGTACGTGCACCGCATTGGCCGGACGGGCCGCTGTGGGAACACGGGCAGAGCGGTGTCATTCTTCGACCCCGAGTGCGACACCCCACTGGCTCGCTCCCTGGTGAAGGTCCTCTCCAGGGTAAGTGGGACCTTGTCCTATCCAGAGATGCATTCTAAATTTTGGGCCCAGGCAGTTTTACGTTCCGCTGCAACATGATTGGATGGAGCATGTTTCTGTTTAAGGCCCAGCAGGAAGTACCGTCTTGGCTGGAAGACATAGCATTCAGCGCACATGGGACAACTGGCTTTAATCCACGTGGGAAGGCCTTCGCTTCTGTCGATACACGCAAAGTATGTTACCTTTTTCTCTTTGTACTTGAATGGTGGCAGCTGATCCCTCACAGACACTTTTCTGAACATTAGACTTCAGTTTGGGAGTCATTGTAATTTGTGGGGGGAGTGTTTATGCTGGAGTTTATTTTTGGAATCGTACACTGGTTTGTTTGCTGTAAAAACAATTGTCTTTTTGGAAACATTTTTTTATTTACATCTGTTGTTTTTGGCTACCCTGTCGTTTCTGGGGTCCCTTTTTCAGAAAAGGTCCTCGCCGCCAAATAAAAGTCCTTAACTATGCACACTGCGTGCAAGTGTCATAATGTTACTGTATAAGAACTGGAAACGTATGCTAAGCACTTTCCATGCTTGTTCAGATTCCGGTAAATGTTGTGAGTTTGAGACACAAGTGGGGAAGAGGCTATAATGGTCTGCTGGTGAAGTATTTTCTGCTTAATCCTACTGTAGTCCCTGCCCTGACTGGCTGTTGTCTTTTAGGGAGGTTCGTTTCAGAAGGAGGAGAAGCTGCAGCCCATCACCCAGAGCCCAGCAGCCACTGCCAATGACGACGACGAAGTATGGGATTGAGTCCCCTTCGCTTTGTGGGACTGAGCTTTTGCAGTTGTGCCCTTATTTTCATTCCTGTCTTTAAAATATGCAGGACAGCATATTTTTCAGAAATGTAACTTATGTGCACAGTTGCTGGACAATATTGACCTTGACTCAGTGCACTTGGGTATCTCTGGCCATTTGCCAAAGTTTGGTTTCAAACTGACGTTACA